AACGTCAGCGTTGAAAGTGATGTGTCCAAAAATGCGAATAAGCTTTGGGAGTTAGGGCTCGATCAAACCACTAGTCGCCATGAGGGAGGGGGTTAAACCGCATTTTAACCCTTTGACGATAATAGAATATTATGCGAAACGTTAGTTGCAGTATAATATTTATTATGATCTACAGCGAATAAGTACCAAGATAGGCTTAGCTTCCGAGGATGCTCGGTCTCTCACCTCCGTGATCTACTCTGCCAGGCTGATCCGGCCAGCGTGATAGGACGAGATATCGATCTGATATCTGCCAGGTTCGATATCGAGCGCGCCTTTTGGCGCCAGAACCTGGCGGGAAGAGTCCACGCGGGCCGAGCCGGCAAATTGTTTTCCAGTTTGCTGAAGGGGAAGTATGCGCCATGTAGGTCGTAACGCTGACCTTTTGGACATGTTGGATTGTACTGCGCAATTCGCAACATTTATTATTGAACTTTCAACAAACATACTAACAATTAGAGCGGCCTCCTACTCCCTCCCTAGGGAGATCAATCGGTCCTGTTTTTGGACTTTTTGACGGTGGAACGTGGCGTGGTGGGCTTTTCTCTTGCTTCCGGAGATCTCTTTCGCCTCCAGTTTGCTGTTTTCTCGTTCGCCGTTTGACTCTCCTTATTGCTGCTGCGTCTGTAAAGGAGGTCTTGTATGATCAGAAATCGAGTGGGTGGGAAGGGAGGGTACTTGGTACTTATTCGCTGTAGATCATAATAAATATTATACTGCAACTAACGTTTCGCATAATATTCTATTATAATCGACAGCTCATAAGTACCAAGATAGGCTCGTTCAAATCACCTCAGGATCGATTTCTGATACGATTCTCTTTTAGCATCACGACGATAGAAGTCCTGGAACGTAGAGGACCCAGGAGCCCAAGCCGCCGCTCTCATTATCGTCTCTAGTGACAGGCCCTGTTTGTATGCCTTAGAAGTACTAGCGGAACGCGTGGAATGAGCTGCGAAGCCGTCCCCTACATCAGCTTCAACCAGAACCATTTTGATCCACCGTGCCACGGTGGCCGACGAGATTGGTCTATGAGGCGATGCGTACGAAAGCAGCAGTGTCTGCTCCCCGCCGCGGAGTTTCTCTGTCGCTGCGAGGTATTGCTCTAGTGTTTTGACGGGACAAAGGAGACTGTTAGCTAAGTATGCTTCGTACACCGCTGACTGAGGGGGTCCAAATCTCCTGTTCTTATTTCGATAGTCTATAAAGAACACCCATTGGTGAGCACTCCTTTGAAGGCTTCGCAAGGAGAAGGAAGCTATCTCTGACACTCGTTTGGGCGAGCATAACGCTAGTAAAATGGTGAGCTTGAGAGTGAGCTGTTTCAGGGGCAACCGCGAATTTGGACCAAGGTTGGTGATGTAGTTCAACACCTTGTCGACCTCCCACGTAGCGGAATACCTAGCCTTGGGAGGATTAATTCGAAAGAGGCCCTTCATGAACCGCGTAACCAACGGGTTCTCTCCCCACGAGGTTCCAAATAATAGATCTGAGACCGTGGTAATGGCTGCCTTGTGCGACGCTACTGATGAGTAGCTGAGACCTCTATCCGCCAAGGTTGCTAGGAAGTTGCACAAGGTTATATGGGAAACAGCTTCTTGTTTAGGTTCTCTGTGTAAGAGATATTCATGCCACTTGCTCAAAGAGGAGGCGTACTGTCGCCGAGTACTTGGAGCCCAGCTGGCCAGGAGAGTATTGATTGCCTGTTTATTGCACCCAGCAGAGGCCCAGGATGTGGCGAGATCCTCCAAGCTAGCAACTTGAAGTTCTTTTGCGATAGTAGAGGGTGCTCCTGCCCCTGAGCGTTGGTCAGTAACGGTCGGCTCTCGCATATGAGCAGGACTGGCGGCCGCTCTGCGTGCTTTAGAAGGAGTGGAAACCAGGATTGACTTCTCCATAGCGGAGTCACGAGTATCAACGTTGCGCCATCTCGGACTGCTTTCCGGAGTACTCGTCCGATTAGATTGAATGGCGGAAAAGCGTATCCGAAGGTCGCCGACCATTTGTGCGCGAAAGCGTCTACTTTGGCAGCACCTGGATCAGGATTCAGTGAGAAATAAGGCTTCAATTTGTGGTTTAGTCTTGAAGCAAACAGATCTACCGTAGGCCTGCCCAAGTGCGAGAATATTTGCTGTGACACTGAACTATCTAAGGACCACTCAGCTACTTCTCTGGTGAACGATCTTGACTCGGTGTCAGCTAATAGATTTTGTTCACCCGGTCTATGTGTTGCGAGAAGGCGTATCCTCCTTTCCCAACACCACGACCCTATCTGTTGCGCTAGGTCCGATAACTCTTCACTTGTCGTGCCACCTCTGCGCTTAAGATAGGAAATTGCTGACGTGTTATCCATCTCTAAGAGAACACTAGTGTCCCTCCACTGATTACCAAAGGCTTGCAGACCGAAGAACGCTGCTTGTAGCTCTAACACGTTAATGTGGCGAGCTGCCTCTTGTTCGGTCCACCTACCGCCTGTGCCTCTACCGTTGCACATCGCTCCCCAGCCTGCCTTCGAGGCGTCTGTTGTTATGGTGATGTCTGGAGAGAAAAGCGTAAACGGGTGACTGGCGTAGGCATCGAGCTTGTCACGAAACCACAGCATATCCGCGAGCGTCTCCCCCCTCAATGGTATTAAGTTCTCAAACGAGTCACTATTGAGAGGGTCCAAGCATTTTATCATCTCACGCTGTAGGCGCCGGGTCATGTACGTGGAATAAGGCGATGCCAATGCTATAAAATTGATGCGCCCAAGGAAGGCCGCGAGCTCCCTTGCTGATATCGCTCCTCTCTGAGCAATGGACGAGGCTTCTGACCGTATTCGGTCTAACTTTTTGGGAGGGATTCTGAATTCACCGAGCCTTGCGTCTATGATGAGGCCTAAGAATTCCAGCTCCTGAGTGGGGACCAATTGGGATTTAGCGTGATTTATGCAGAGACCTAGGTGCTCAAATATCTGAATGGCATACGCAATATGGCTCCTGCACTCTTCCTCTGTGTTTGCAAACACAGCCCAATCGTCCAAGTAGTGAATTACTCTTATTCCGCGCTCCCGGAAGTGGGCCGCGACTACTCGCATTAATTTGGTGTACACATAGGGTGCCGTTGCTAGCCCAAAAGGTAGGCAAGTGAATCTGTAGAGGTTTCGGTTCCACCAAAAGGCGAGGTAGTTCCTGTGATCCGCTGCGATATTGACCGCAAAGTACGCATCTCTCATATCAATCTTGGCCAGGAAATCCCCCTTGTAAGCTACATCTGACACAGAGTGCAAATTTTCCATCTTGAAATGTGGGATTTCAAGAAAAGCGTTGAGTGGCTTCAGGTTGATTATGGGCCTTGTTGAACCATCCTTCTTGGGGATCCCGAAAAGTGAAGACACCCAAACCTTCGTGTTTGTGGGGACCCTTTCTATCGCTCCCTTCTCTCTGAGCAAATCTAGCTCCTCTGAAAGGGCTCTGGTTGTCATTTGAGAGAGATGGGTGGGGAGGGCCAGGCACGGTTTGCGTCTCCCGAAGGGGATTCGATATCCTTTGATGGATTCCAGAATGAAGGGGTCTCCTGAGAAGCCTTCCCATGACTTTACGAAGTCTGCTAACCTCCCAGCTATGCGGTTTGAATACATGTACGGATCTTTTATGGTCGCTTCGCTAGACCCCTGGGCACCGTGGGAGTCAAGTATTGTATCAGAAACTCCTAAAGGTAACGAACGAGGCAAAAAAGGATAAGAATACGCCCACCTGTTCCTTATCTGGCGTGGAGGTGTGGCCTTCCTCTTTTTTGCGCTGGCTCTCAGCTTCTGCAACGACTTCGTGATTGCTGAGTCCCCTGCAGCTAGTTCGTCTCGGAGTTCTTTCCCGAATAGGTCCGGGATAAGAGTCTGGCGCATGCGGTGCACCATGGTAGAGCCTGCTAACGGCAATCTGCGATATGATGGCATCGCTCTTCTTGGTTCGACTCCCAAGGCTTTGAGAAACCGTTCTCTTCTGAGAACGATCAAGTCCATAAGCGATCCTGATACGAGTGTGTCCAGGATCTCAAAATATCCAATCACTGGAGCAGCGAATGTGCCGCCCTGGCCATCTGCGCCGAGCTTCCTGACCAACTCGACAATGTTGAGGACATTGAGTAGCGTTTCGTGCAGGGTGCGCAGCTCCGGTTCCCTGACTAAAATGGCGCGGTCGCTGTCTCGAGGCAATTGTTCGTCGATTGCCGGGACCTCTCCGAAAAGAGAAGCGACTAGAGGTAACTCCCTCAGCAGTGAGGATCTCTCGGCATTGCTGAGCGGCACTCCTGCGGCTAGCGTGTCGAAGCGTTCTCGAGCTTGCTGAAAAAACAGAAGCTGGAGTGCCACTAGTCTGACATATTGGAATAAGAATTGATTGGAAACTATCTTCAGCCACAGTAACCCACCTCTGTTATGGACACCCTTACACGAAGTGTCTTCTGGGGCACGGCGGGAGGTGCGGGGACCTCGTCCCTGGCAGAGCGGAACTCGTGCTTCCTGGGGATGCGGCAGTCCGGCGGTGGTGGAGCTAGTGGCGATACGTAGCTCAGTCCCTCTTTTCGATCTGTGCTCCCTTCGCGCGAAGGTGAGCTCGAACTGGACTGAGAACGTGATCTTCTCTCCGACTCCCTTGATGAGGCCGACGAGCTTGAGGAGTCTGAGCTCGAGTGTCGGTGCCTGGACCTCGAGGATGACCTCGAGCGGCTCATCTGAAAAAAACAGTATGAACCTGGTGTAGATCCAAGCAAGTCAACTTGCGACGAAAGTGAGCGAAAACCCGAGTTGATAGCATGGCTAAGCAACGAAGAGGGTGATCGCAAGCAGGAGGATGGACCCGGGCTGCCACAAGAGTAGCAGCGAAGAGAGTCAAGACGAGAACCATAGTCGACGTCCTGGACGTCGACGACGGTGGTTCCGTGGTGGAGACCGTGAGCATACGCTCACCGAAGCAAACTGGAAAACAATTTGCCGGCTCGGCCCGCGTGGACTCTTCCCGCCAGGTTCTGGCGCCAAAAGGCGCGCTCGATATCGAACCTGGCAGATATCAGATCGATATCTCGTCCTATCACGCTGGCCGGATCAGCCTGGCAGAGTAGATCACGGAGGTGAGAGACCGAGCATCCTCGGAAGCTAAGCCTATCTTGGTACTTATGAGCTGTCGATTATAATGGGACATTCCCGTGCGATCGGTTCCCCTCCGGAAATGATTCCGCGCGATCAACAACTACCTCTACGATCTACATGGTTCAGACCAGCCGATATACAGCTGACCTCTTGAGACTAGCATGTCCCTTTCTGACAAACCAGTTACAGAGTTAGGTTGTTCTATGAATGCATCAGCTCATTAGCCCCCCCCCATCGGTTGTGAGTGAACGTTTTCATACAATCCATCAAACCGCCAGTCACTCTTAACCATTTCGTCTCGGCCTCTACACTGGAATTAAGGGTTTTTGCCTTCGGCACTGCCCATTTCGTGCACGTCCCGCCAACAGTAGGCGTGGACTCGCTTAGCTAATGTGTG